GGAACTGATATGATGGAAAAGTGGATATGTTAATTCTTATTTACTAATGTAAGAAAATTTAACAATGCTTCCATTGTTTTCGTTTAAGAGGACTTAGTTAATTGAAAATCAACGTCAATATGTAAACATTTTTAGAAAATACAATGGAAATGGGAGTACCAGCGACACCAACAATGTATAAACAAAAATAAAAGTTCGATGTACTGGGGCATATTTCACAAAACCGCAAATTTGTATGTTACAATCAAATTTTAACAAGATTTATAAAACAGCTAGTTATTCATGTGTTATATGAAAGTATGAGTGTACACTTACAATGACGTGAATTTTACAAGTAAATTGCTTGTAAAACACTAACAATTCATCTATTTGTGACAAGCGTTGTTGATAAATTTGTAGCTGATGCTTATACTGAACCTAACATCTTCTACCTAACTCTGTTGGTACGTAATCAGACTTGTGTGTTGAATTGAAAAACAATAAAACGTTACTATAGTATAACAATTTTTATTTGAGGCTGACTCACCTGCGAATTACTTTGTGGTCGGCTGGCAATGACATATCTCGCAGGTGAGTCACCCTCGAATAAAAATGGTTATACTATATGCACAGCTCTTCGTCGAAAAATACAAATACAGGGTGCGCCACCGGTAACACCTCGGTCTGTAGAGCCAAAACTAATTTTTAAATCTATTTTTATAGCGAGTTATGTATATCCAATATATTGGGTGATCACAATGAGATTATATAGATTTCAGTATTGATGTAGGTAAAAACTTTCAGTGTTTTAGAAAGGTATATTATCTCTTTCTGCCGATGAACTATATTTTTGTTTTATTCTAAACGAATCTGTACAGGGTGAACTCAAATACATTTTCTCATTTTATATCATCTTTCAAAACAACCCTATTTATACTTTCATTTGAGTTAAGCATTCCCTATACCTACCTAAAGTTAATAAGTTTTGGGAGATTTTAAAATTTAAATGATAAAAGAAATAATTCAGAAAAAACTTAATAAACTGTGTTTGTTAATTAGTAATTAGAATTTTACCAGCTGTAATTTGTTATCGATTGAATACATTTTTGACAATCTTTAATGCGACTTTTACGTTCAGTTATATTATATTAATATGGTAGAAGGCCTACAATTTCCCGTTAACTTCACATCAATAGGCCATTAATTGCCAATATTTATTTCTAGACATTAAAGGGAAAATGAAGGTTTATTAACTAGATTTGATGGCAAAATGACTTCGGCCCGGCTGTCGGTCGTAGTGACCTATATATGCCGGCCTTTTAATTATAATAAAGGGCCATCATTACAATTGGAAGGTAACAGTTATTGGGCCTTCTATTCCCCTACACAAAATGTTTGTTGGTAGTAATAACGAACTGTTAATATTGGGGTTTCAAAGTCAACTTAAAAATAAACTTAGAATAAAGTATCCCACTAAACATGAGACATTACCAGTCTTTTTTGTAACCTTCCTCATATTTATGCTGGAATACTTCAATTAGCAGTTACATAAACATCTTTTTAATTACTTCCTGTGACAAACATTTATACGATGTTAATTTGCATAACTCACAACAATATCGCATACAGGTCAGCACAGTAATGTGTACAAGTAACACATCTTTAAGATGGCTATCTTTAGTCTTTATATCGCAGACCTGGCAGACCTAACAGTTCGTCCCGCGTTCATAGATGGAGATACCAATGATCGTTTGCTACTTAGGTAATCGGTAGGACTGTATTATGGAGGAATCTGATTCACAGTGTTTCATCAAAGTTCTTAGTTTTACCTTTGATATTGATTTAGACCATTGTATAATCATACTTCTCGGAGGACTATATATAATTGAAATTATTTTTAAATTGTTGCCTTTTCTGATATACATATTCCTGCGAAAACAGATTTAGAAAAATCCAATAGTTTTGGCTCTACAGACCGCGGCGTTACCTGCGACCCACCCTATATATACGAGTATATACTTAATTGTTCAAAAAAGAATGTGAAAAATTTTGGGCCTGATAATAAACTGCTACTTTTATTAATTCTATGATTTTAATGAACGCTATAGAATGCCTTCTGGGCAAATGGAACAACTCCGTCTGGATATTGCACACTTTACTATAGGTACTTCATACTACTAATCGATCTTATGCACTATCAAACTGTCAACAAAAAAGCAGCTTTGGATGGGCAATGGAGGACAGTGCTATTTCATAGCAAATGCACATGAGGTTATGTATAGGTGTGTACCTACAATAATAAATTACGTAACAAGAGTTGTAAGTAACCCATTACGCACGAAGTGAAAAAGTTGGGCTTACAACTCGTAAAACGTACTATACTTTTTCTGCGCCCACTTATTTTCTTCTATTAAATAAAGAACATATGCTTGTGTCGCTAATCCATACATTTTCGATAGGTAATTTCGTACCTTTTTTTGGATTTTAGCGGTAGCAAATTATGTGTGGCAGCTTGAACTTTTTCTAAAATCTCTGGTGGAGTGCTCATAATCTCATCACTTTCACTACTAACAGATATATTCATAGGTAAAGTTAAGAAAATGTTCAAATACAATATTTAGTATAATGTGTTGCCGACATTTAGGGGCATACTTTTTTTATTCCAAAATGTATCTCGCTATTGCTAAAAGTTTTTATGTTTTTAAATTGACTAAATTTATGTAAATGAACCAAATAAAGTCTTACGTAGATAAAAATTTGATTGCAATTTAATTAATATATATACTGGGATTAAACTAAGAAATTTAAGTTTTTTTTATTAAAAAGCACGTGTATGTTATGATATCTTATTACGTGCATGTTATTGTGAAATGTCATTTACAAGGAATGTTGACAGTGCAATTTTTAACGTTTACTGACATGGGCGTAGAAAAATAATTGTACCTAACTGCAATTACACTTGTCAACAAATTCGCGCCTGCAACAAACAAGTTTACATAATCTGTGAAACACTTGTTCTTGGCAACTTGTAGTTAGAAATGCTGAATACCTACTAATAGTTACGAACAACATTTGAAGCAGGGGGGTGGGTGCATGGCTTATGCCTGCGGATCCAAGGGTACTAATTAAAAGTGCTGTTCCTAAAGTAACGCTGAGAAACAGTAACAAAGCCTACACAGAACACGAGGCTAATAACCGTAGCAGTTGATGCCGATGACACAAAAAAAAACATTTGAAGCTTTGTGAAATAGGTCTCTGTAGCATTATTCTTGGATCATTTTTAACATAACGAGTGATCCACAAAAAAATGTTTCTTAAAGTAGGAATTGGAAAAATTCACGTATGTCGAGCGTGCAATTTATTCTTCTTTTTAAAACAGTTTGGATTTAATTAGGCATTCCAAACAAAATGGCTACCAGTGGGTTTTGACAGGTTATGATATGGTAAAATTATAGCAACCCTGTAGAACTGGTGATTTGATAAAGTCAATGAAATAGATAGTTACATAGATTCATCCATATTTTTTAAAATAAACATAAGCTTATGCCTTGAAGTAAAAATGTAGGTAATTATTTTTTTTACTATATTCAAAGGCTAAATACTGGTTTGCGAACACATTTTTTCAAAATCGATTCTGATTAATGAGCACTTGCAAGGAAATATGGCCGCTCGTAAACGACCAGCTTTGAGCAATCTATATATATATATATATATATATATATATATATATATATATATATATATATATATATATATATATATATATATATATATATATATATATATGTATCATTGACCCTGTCAATGACAACAGACTCACAGGGTTGCCATATCTCAATGTCAGTTTCCACTTGTCAGCGGTTTCAGGTTTGACAGGTGGTTAGAATGCCTAATTCAGAGTCGTGCCCACTAATCACGGACAAGATTCGTATCTGTCTATCGGTCTCGGTCATGGCCTACTTTAGAACATTTATTGTGGATCACTCAGCTTTATTTTTCATTTTCAAATTTTATTATTTGAATAATCCTATAATTTTAATTTGTACACCAATAGTTTTTTTTTTTTGAGAAAACAATTATATTTTTGATAAATATATGAGGTATATTTAAATGGATTGTCCAATGTTATCTGGGAGTACGAACAATATATTAATCGATAAATGTTGGACTACATATTGGAACCGGCCATAAGTGGAAGATTTAAAACAACCTAGTTATTAGTAGATGAAAAAAAAAGTATTATTTTAATAATACAATAAGAATTATTTTGATTAGTGATGTAAAGGGGGAACGTTCCCTTCGTGATGTGGGGAATCTGTAATGTCAAATTAAAAAAAAAAACATCTGTATATCTGGGGGGGGGGGGGTAATTTTTATATTTATTGAACGGAATATATGTTATTTGGTGAAAAGCCATGATGCTCTTTTTGTATAAAATTCTACATTTTATAACTGATACCCAAGCTCTATTAGAAAAAGTCATACATATCATGCCAATTCCTAGAAGTTAACAGATATTTCACGACAAAAGACATATGACAAATTCTGACATGAATGCAGTTATGGGGAAGCTCTTTCGAAATTATTACAGCAATTTCTTGCAGACAAAGGTATTAGTTTTATTATTTTTGTAAATAATGTATGTAAGTCATTTGGAATTAATTTTCTGCAAAGCTTTAATTAAATAAATATAAAAATCCCAAGCTTTGTCAATATTTATCGGGTTCATAAATTTTAATGAACATTCTTGCAACCGGTTCTAATATTTCTGAGACCTTACATTAAAATACTGAGCAAAAAGGAGATAATACAAAAACAGTAAAAATATTTTCTAACTATACTAGATAATTACTTGTATTCAGATCACCAATTTTTCTTTCTTTGGTTTTCTCTAATATTTTGTACTTATTTTCACTAAAATAAAAATCTGATTAATTATTAAAAATATTAACAATAAAAGTTTTGTTTGAAAGTAATGTACATTTAGAAAAATCATAAAAATTATAATTGTAATACTTAACCATTTTCATGTATATTATATGTAAGTTTTGTTGAGCAAACGAGTAAAAATTTAAGGAACTATTAGAAGAGTATAAAGTTCTTCTAATTTTATGATATAACTGCTTGATATGGAATTCAGACCATCGATTTTTTCCATTTCTTTGGTTTTCTCCAAAGTTCTGAACCTGTTTTCACTGAAATAAAAATATAAATATTAAAATATAGTAAGAGATTTGGGCAAATAATTAATTCAATAGTGACCATCACCATGATAGTTCCTATTCTGTTACTTAGATGATGTGGGAAAAACTGCCACCAACCCATTAATATACCCATTGCAATGAAATTTCCTTTGTAAGTTATTAATGATGAACATTGTATCAAACAGTTAAATCATTGCTATTAGTCATATTTGTTGCTTTTCAAGATTTAAGGGGGCAAATAGTATACGTAAGGGTCGGTTGCCAAATCAATATTGCTTTTTATGATGTGTATAAACAGTATTATTTTTGTGTTTAGTAAACAAATTTATTTTTTGATTTTTAAAATGTCTAAGCATTTAAATAGTCGTGCGAAAGAATTAGTGTGGTCTCTAATAAGATATTTTGAAGAAGAACGAGATAATGGTGTCCCTATTATTACCAATAAATGCAGTCGGCGTTGAATTTGAATATTTCGACGGTAAACTCAATTTCCCAGGCATTAAAGAATAACCATATTTTAAATTCTCCTCTAAAAAGTTGACCACGTCCCAAACCTGTAATCGAAATTTTCAATTCTGACTACAAAAGATCATTGTATACAGTGTTAACCAATATAGGATTTAAATGGAAGAAAGATGATCCCGGAGCAGGGCTTATAGAACATCCTCACGTTGCCAGTAAAAGATTTAGTTTTTTAAATTTATACACAAGTACAAAAAATTATTCTCTGTATAAATTTGTTTATCTGGATGAAACGTGATTTTTCAAAATGGCAAAGTAAATTGCTTTGGGAAAATAACTATAAAAGGAAGGTAAAAACTACAAGAGTTGATAGAAAAGATTCATTGCTCTTCATGCTAGTAACGAAAATGGTTTTACAGATGGGGCAGAACTGATGTTTTCATCAAATATTAACAATCCCGACTAACATGGGAAAATGAATGAAGTACATTTTTTAAAATGGTTCGAGAATCAATTACTTATGAATTTAATTGAGGCTTCAGCGATTATTATGGACACTGCTTCCTTTCACATCCCATTACTTTTTAAAACGCCCAATATAATTCCTGGACAAAACCTGAAATTCAGGATTGGCTGACGAAACACATTTAATTTGAGAATATGTACAAACAAGATTTATTGAACACAGTTTTCAGAAATAAACAATAAAAAATGTATAAAGTAGATCATTTTGCAGAACAATATTGCTCCACAGTTATTAAAATTGGGTTTTGCCAAGAATTATTATAACCTGCATATTGGTGGAGATGGCAACTCAATTTAAAATTGTGTAAATATGTGGAGGGAAGCACTATAGACTGTAACCTTTCAAATCTGGTAGTCTAATTGTATCAATTATACAGAAAAATTTATTCAGAAATGTTGGGATCGTGATATTTTACCTGTAATTATTGATTTTAATGATGATAGCGATAGTGATACTTATTCTGAAAAAAGCTTTATTTTTTTTCTATTTATTTATATTGGAAGAACTACTTCCGAAAGCTTCTAAAATTGTATAATATGTAGGTTTAATGAATTAATTAATTAACGTGTCAAAAGATGGAGTTTAAATTAAACATTAGTTTTTAATAAAATGTTTCCTGAGATTCTCGAATTTTGTATCAACGTGACAACGTCTACTTTCATGAGTTTATGACGTGCATTGGAAACAGTGTTGTCAGATGTACGATAATTCTCGATTTTGTACGATAAATTTAACGAACGTACGATGTACGATAGTAGCTATGCGATAATGACATTTTATACGATAATTTACATTTAGAAAAAGAAACTAATGCGAAAACCTATGTAATGATGTATTCATCACAACCCACTATATTTTTAATTTTGCTTAATATATTTTTATGGTTAATGACAAGTCTAAATGGTAAACTGATATTAAAATTTTGATTGTTTTATATTTTTTTGGAATGGGTTCTTCCCAAATTTGTCGACTTAAGTAAGCTTTCCATTTTAAATATCCAGAATATAAAAAAAGGCAATGAGGCTATACTTTTACCGCTAATAACATCTTTACCACAAATTTGTGATCCCCAAAACACCACGCAACTACAAAAAATTGACGACCAGTGGAGAAAATTAAAACACTTTGAGGATTTACCGGAATCCACGGAAATCGATGAGTTTTTTCATAAAGTAAGTCAAGCAACAGACTATAATGGAGAACTTATATTTCCAGATTTGTGTAATTTTGTTTTAAGTGTTCTCTCACTATCACATTCAAGTGCCAGTTGTGAAAGACAATTTTCAAAGGTAAATTTAATAAAAACCAAATTAAGAAACAGATTAATAACTGATACGGTAAATGGACATATGTTATCGTCTCAGTAGGTCCATCTAGAACAAGACTGTTTGAATTTTATACCCAGTGACAAAATGTTAAGAAGCATGACGTCTGCCAAACTCTACCAGAACCAGAATTTCCAAAACGATAATGAGATGCAATTTGATGACATCACTTTTGATGAAATTTAAACGTTTTTGTTTTCTTTTATTTTTATTTGTTTTAGCTTTTATCCTTTTAGTACAAAGACAATTATTATTTTATGTTTAAAGAAAGTTCGATGTTTTTATTTAATATAAAGAAAAAAAAAATAAAATATTTTTCTTTCTCTTTTAATTACTCTTTTTTTTTAATTATATTAAAAAACTTTTTTAATAAGTATCGTTATTTTGTACGATAATGTACGATAATTTTAAACGGTTTATGCGATAATTCTCTTTTTGAAGTCTGGCAACACTGATTGGAAATTTCATTGCATTTACTATATTAATAATATTAATTATATAGAAATAATGTTATTTTTATACGGTGTGTTTCATAGAAAAACGGACATACGTTAACTGTGAATAGAGATAATCGAGGTGCTTCCAAATAACCTACACTTAATTATATTTTGTCTTTTATAACCGAAATATCAATTTTTCAATAAATTTTTCAGTATTTCATCCGGCTAAATTTTTGAAAAACAATTTCAAGTTCCGATATACTTCGTGTTGTTTTAAGAATGGACGAATTTACTAATTTTTGTACGAGATTAAGGTAAAAAGTTCTCGGCCTGACAATGAAAGACTGCGATTTTCAGTTAAAAAAGGATTTTATGTTTCTACATAACCTCCCTTGACTTCAACACACTTTCTCCAAAATCAGTATTCCTTCCCGGAAGTGAGAGCCTAGAAGGCTGTGAAAATATTCATCTACGGCCCTCTCAACTTCTTCATTAACACGATAAGTGCTTCCCAGAAACAAATTTCCTTAAGTTTGGGAACAGACGGAAGTCTGGGAGTCCCAAATCAGGAGAATAGGGGGATGGCCGAGAGCAGACCTGTTATCGCGAATGTTGGCATCCAGCTGGTCAAAAAGGTTGAACTAATATTCACTTGTAATTGTTCTGTCTTTTTCAAAACACGCTGGCCATGACCATTCCGGCAGATGTTATCGACTTCGCTTTCTTTGCAACTCAACCACAGGCTTCCACCTCATCCATGGTGACAAATCGCCGCACAAAATCGGCCGAATTTCTATTGAATCGTTTGCGCATTTGCTTTTGATCGGCGTTCAGCAAAAGCCCATCTTGCGCAGTGCTTTCGCATACCTAATTCTATGTGTAAAATATTTCGCATTCATTTTAAATAGGTCAATATGTATACATATTGACCTATTTAAAATCAATTTATATCTAAAACTGAAGCTCTCTTAGTGCTCTATGAACTGGATTTTACAGAATTAAAATATCTCTTTTACTTATCAAAATATCCGGCCTGGGAGTTTTTATTGGTACACCCTGTATAGACCCAATTTTTCCAGTAAAAGAATTCAAAAAGAAAAGGGAAAGAACATGGATTACATCTGGTATAAATTCATTTTGTCAAAACAAACATTTTTTATATAGGGAAATGCTAAATGGAATTATATCAAATGAACATTATAAACAATATAGTACTGTCCTAAAAACTGCTGTAAGTTGTAAGGGTAGCAAAAAAAATATCTGGAAGAGTTCATCCGAAAATCTGATAATAAAAGCAAAGCCACTTGGTCACTTGTAAAAGAAATAACAAAAAATAATTCAAAACAAAACTCCTTTCTATAAAACATTAGTAGGAAAGATGCAGCTTTGCCATCGACAGATACATTGAATATCCAGAACATGATAAATCAATTTTTCATTATTGCCTGTCCTGACATTGCACAAGATGAAGTATGACAATATAATAACAACCAATGAAAATTGTACCTTTAGTTTAAAATCACCTAGGGAGATAATAAGAACAATAAAAAATCTGTAGGTTTCGATGAAGTACCAGTGGTCCTCTTAAACGAAGCAGCATGCCAAATTACGTATTCTTTAAATCATATTATTATTTTTGTTTCTGTACTGGTGTCTAATATAAAAAAGGTGAAAAATGTGATGTTAACAAAATATTTGGAACAATTATATTTAGCAGAATTGAGACCCTCTTAGAAAGTAATGAAGTTTTATCAAACTGTCAAATTAACTTCAGAAAGGGAAAAGGTGCAGTGCGTGCCATATATCCAGCTCTAAAAATAATTACTGAATCCTAAAATAAAAATCAACAGACATCGGCGCTATGTCTGGACCTGTCTAAAGCCTTTGATAGTGATGATCACAACATTCTATGTAGGAAAATGGAGTTAATAGGAATCTTATGGGTACCACTGCTTCTTATGAAATCATATTTACTCAATAGACAACAATGTGTCACAGATTTTGACGATAACAATAGTTTAGTTAAATCAGATATTAAATCTATAAAAAAGGTGTGCCACAGAGGATTCCATATTGGGTCTTTTACTCTACATAATATATGTAAATGAACTACCAGAAGATGTTAATGAAATTTTAGTACAATATGCCGATGACACCTCATTGATTTTGAGTAAACCAACACTTGATTTATGCAAGGGAAAACTACATTCCACATTAAATACATTAGAACATTGGTTT